TCGGCGTTGGGCTCTTCAGTCTTGTTTTTTTTTAGTTTGGTTAGTGGGTGGTGGTTTTTTTTAGGACTGGCGATACCGTTTTGCAGTTGACTCTCTGGCTGTCTTTCCATCTACCGCTGTCGTCCGTGTAACAAGGTAATTTTTTTTGGTGTTTCCTACTGGGGCTTATTTTTGCACGGTTTGTTTGCCGTCGAGGAGGAACGAAACGGAAATGCCGCTTGGGGAACAAAGTCTTTGAATCTTTGAAAGGTTTGTATTTATATGCATGTGGGATTTGTTTTCAAACTTGGAAGTTTGTTTTGGAATTGATTTCTGTACAAGTATACAAAAGTATTTCACTCAGGCTTTTTTGGAAATTGATTGTCACTATTTTGGGAAAGTAGTTGCAGCAAGTGTTTTGGTCAGGAGATGAGAAATGTCTGAAATCTCTACTCAAAATGTGTGCAATTTTGCACCATTGTTTGTGGGATTTCAGACACAAGTTGCCTGAAGTTCTGCAAACCATTGTGAATGAGCAGTGAATGAGTTTCTGTGATGCAAAAGAAGACATTTTGAACCAAAGACAATGTAGGCCTACTTCTCATTTTCTAGTTTTGTGTAATTTCACCAAGGAATGGAAAAACATGAATAGCCCCAACAGGCCTGAATCCTCCAATTTCAATACAATTTTGCATACCCCCTAGGGAGTTAAGGTTAATGTTTAACATAGTCGGTACTGAAAACTTTTGACATGTTCTGTCCTCGTTTTTTTTAATTGTTTTGTTAATTTCATAATTCAGCAGTAAAATTTGCATAATTGTCCTGTGCTACGTACCATACTTTTAGATCTACATGTAGTCCCTCCATTGGAGGAGGTAGTCTGAGTATCACCCGTTATCCACGGAGCCAAGAGTCTCCTGTACATGTGTAAAGTCTGATGTCTAGACATGCAGAAAATGCAAGCTGCGCGCCAGCCAATCGGAGTCGACTTTACTAAATCGTGACATCATTTCATTCCCCAAATCAGGACTAAATGGTTTGATTGGTCAATTCGAATGCTGTGTTTTATCGCGTAACATGATACAGAGCTTGTGACACAGGTTTTCTTTTGATCCATTGTCTATGATGCGCAACGGGTGAATGACCGAAGACCAGATATAGAAAGTGCCCGCTGATTGGTCAAAATCTAGAGGTCAAGAGGCGGTTGTCAGATTGCCTAATTAATCAGCGAATCTGCTCACATATCATGGACCACGGCATTCTATTACATAGACTACGGAGGAGGGGGGGTCCACTTTTTGCACTCAGTTTTGCAACAAAACTTAAAGACATGCTTACATGTATACAGTTCAAGTCTGATGCATGCTACACATTGAATTTTGTTGATGTTTCAGGAAATAACAATTACATGTGTATAAGAAAGTCATGTGATATGGTACTACCTACATGTACTACTACACATTGTATGGTAATCCAGTGTCTGTTGTTCTCATTAGTACACAATGTATGGATACTATACGTTACGTAGACAAATGTAATACAACGCTCAACCCTCTTAGGAATAGGCAACAGCAAGTTTTCTTCCTGATCCTTTTCCTGCCAGTGACTGGTCTCGTGATGTGGTCTGTGGTTCTCCATTACAATTTGTTAACTTGAAATAGAAGACTAACTTGATGACAGTCTCTCGCGACTTACAGGGAAAGTACCGGTACATCATTGGTTTTTGCTGTAATTTTCAGAAACGAACTATTTCAGGGGTTAGTGTAATAGATCAAATATTGTTATGTACAGTGACATGTTTGTACGTTTTGTGCTCGAAAATGCTGGAAAAACCAAGAAACACAAAAATGTTCAAGTAGTCTGTTTTTTTCTGATATTTTTTCTGATATTTTCTGATATTTGCAGTGATTAAAAGGTTGGTTTTTTTTTTATTAATTCTGTTAAAATTACCAAATCCGAGGCCAAGTAAAAAAAAAAAGGAAAAATAGTTTCTAGCCAGGCTTTCTGAAAAAAAAAGGAAGGAGGAGGCCCTTGTTTGTCAGAGATTTCAAATTTTTCAAGATGGCGGATGACTTTTTCCATTTTCTCAAGTGTTTTGCTGATGTGTCCAAAGAAGCAATCGCCTTTTCTACCAGATTTTAAACTTGCAATAAATTGCTTCAATTTTGCTGGGAACAAATAAAAAGACAAAATATATTGCAAGTGTATCAGTATGATTAAAAAGAAAAAAAAGAAAGAAAACAATTTAGGTGGTAAGCAGGGACGAGACACTGTTTTATTTTTATTTTTTTAATTGGCCTGAAAATCAAAAAAAAAAATTCTCATTTTTCCCAAAAAATGTTTAAATGCCTTGACTATGGAATTACCTGTAGAAACCTCAATTTGAATTACATGTAGAACGATGCGCAATTAACGCTGAAACAATATATTGTACTTGCTTGGTGTATCTATGGGGTCAGAAAACAGTGAAAAGATTTTCTGTGCCATTTTTGATGTGCACAGATGTGTGTTACATTTGTACTTTGTAACAATAAAATGTACATTGAAACCCCTATAAACAGATACATGTTCCGTATATAATCGTGTAAAGGAATGTACTTTTACATGTGGTACATGTATCGGTACAGTACATGGACATGTCCATTGTATGATTGTGTATGAGCACATGTGCATGCATTGTTAAACCTTTTCTGACAGTTGCGAAGTAAGCTTGCACCTGAAAATGTACAATAGGGTTGAATACACGTACACATGGTCGGCAACCATTACTTCTGCTTGTGTATCTCTTCATATGTTCTACACCAGGCAATTTACATATATTGATTTTCGGGGTTTCTTTTCCACCATCGTTGGTATCCGGTTGAGTTCACAGCACTGCGACAAATGGTCTCATCAATTCACCATCTCCCCCCCCCCCCCTCAGCTTCCCTGTTTAGCGTTTCCTTCCAAATCTTACAGACTGCTCAGACTGTGGAAATTTGTAGCGGTATAAAAAAGCCCATCTGTCTCCATTTTTGGTAATTTGCATCAAAGTAAATGTATTTTTTTTTTTTTTTTCATATAACCTTTTACAGGCATGTCCTTTTTGAAATTACTCGAATGTGTAATTTCAAGTACGATTCGTGGATTTGGAAGTTAGGATTTAAAGGGAAGATACAACATTTGCAAACATCACAAAACGAAATGATCAAATTATCACGAAATACCTTACTGGATTGTTAGGGAATGACACGCTAAAGCATCCTGTAAAATCATGGCTCCTGGTGTGCTGACATTTTCAAAAAAAAAGTTATTTTTCCAACGCTGGTCGGCCGACCAGCGTTGGAGAAAACTGGCTTTTTTTCAAAAACTGCTCCTAATTTTTCCTAATTAATTATTCTGCATTTTCTTTGCAATTGATGACACACCTGTGAAGGGGTACAAGCCTTCTAGACTGATTCTCTGACCTTACAATTCCCCAAGATTCATCTTAAGTGGGGTCGGGGAACCAGACTACAAGAACGCGATTGGTTTTCTCGGTTTTTCCAGTATCTACAAGCCTTAAACGTGAAACAGTCATTTTAACAATATCTGCTATAACATACTTATCCTTCAAATTTATTTATTTCTGAAAATTGCAGCAAAAGCAAATGTTGTACATTTTTAAACTAATGTGAATAAATTGATAAACTTATCGTTCAATTTACTGGTACTTGTTTATGCCTTTTGCAGAAAGTTGATTATTTTTAGAGTTATTTATTAGCACTGTCGACAACTTTTATACTGGTATGCATACTTTGAAATCCATTATAGTATAAGCTATTAAACAAAGAAATGCGTGGGTTTGTACTAAAAAATTGAAAGAGTAATAAATAACTCTTAAAATGATGATTTTTTTTTCCAAAATGCATTTATACAAGTGCTGAAAAATTTGAATTGTAATTTTTGAATACACTTTTATATTTGCAGGTAACATTATAAATTTCTCTCTAAATTATTACTACCGGTTAAGAGCATTTGGCTGCATTTTGCTGTTGTGTTTTTTTTTTTTAAAAATCCAATTACGCTTAAATACTGCCGCAAATTGTTGGCAAATTGCGCCACATCCTGTGCGCCCACCATCTCCCCCCCCCCCCCTTGGACTTTCCAGCAAATTAATAAATTCGTCACCCTGTGCCCAAATGAGTGAAGCCAATTATCGGAGACAAACGGACGATTAGCTCTGTCACGGTCTCCGACGTTCCCCCCCCCCCCCCCCACGGAGACTGGTGATTGCAGATGATCTCTTCCCCCCCCCCCCTTCCCAACCAACCTGCCCACATACATGGTGATTCACTCACAACAGCGTCAGTGCTACGCACACACTCTTAAATGCAACTGGAGCACCAGTCATTCGCGATTCAGCCAGTCGGAACTGGAACTAAATGAAGCATTGTGGTGTCTGTTTTTCAGGTCCAGGTGATTGCCGTTGTGTGACTTCATCTTCCGCTTTGTCCGTCTTCAAACGGAGCTCTTGAACGCATCGTTAGACTTCAGCGAACTGTGTTCCCCCACAGAAAGTGATCGGTAATCCTTCTTTTTATCTTCCTCTAACATAAATAAATGTACAAATTGTGGCATTGGAAACAGATTGATCGCGACATTGTCAGTCATTGTGCTGTTTTATTTGTACCCTACATTTTTGTGTAGAAGAGGTAAATTATAGGGAATTTGTTAGTCTTTTTTAGTGTTTGATCTCTTGGTTGGTGGTATTCATTTTTGTCTTTTGTACTTTTCCCTGAGATAATTTTCCTTGGCACAGGTGCATGTTTAAATTTTTTGGACAAAGAGAAAAAAAATCATCATAAATTAGTCCAATTGTCGGAAATAAATTGTATACGATGTGTACACTATATGACCAAAGATTTTGGGGCATTCCCAACAAACGTGCATGCTGTTCCCATTCATCAGTTCTGGAGAATTGAAATTAGCTTTTTATTATTTTTTTTTCTCATGAAAGTGACAAAAACCATTCCAATGCCAGCTTTTTTCCTCTTGTGTTGCAGGGCCAACAAATCACGACGTCACTAGTGTGGGGAAGTCCAAGTGTGGGGAAGTGTGTTTAGTTAATTCCTCGGGCTCGAGCGAGAATCCAAGATGGCGGTCCACTGGGGCGGGGTCATCGCCATTGTCGTCTTCTACCTGTTGATCCTCGGGGTGGGGCTGTGGGCGGCCCGGAAGAGCAAAGGCTCAAAGGATCCTGAGGACGTGATGCTGGCGGGAAGAAACATCGGTCTATTTGTCGGCATCTTTACCATGACAGGTAAGATTTTTTTTTTCTAAGTTGATTTTTTTTCCCTTCACTGCAGTGTATACACAGTGTCACCTGTCCAATTTGAATAGGGGTGTGACATGTAAAAAATAGCCGACACGTCACTCCGCGCTAGAAGGTAGCCAGACTTTTTTTTTTTTTCCCCCAGTGATTATTTTGCCAGCAATAAATAAAAAGAGAAAGGGAATGAACACCACTAATGAAGTTGGTGCTCAAAAAAAGCAAACGAGACTGGACACAGTCGACAATAGGTTGCACTATTCATTCCAGCATACACGTTTATGTTACAGATACACAATTTTACCGATATTTTGCAAGTTTGTTTTGCTTCAAGTTCAGTCAGACACTACACATGTTTATGCTATAGTGTAATTTGCCGAACAAAACTAGAAGCCATTTTGTGTTGGTGCCACACAAAAAAGAACTTAATAATGTATACATAGTGGAAACTTGGCTTTTGCAGTTTGTCTGAAATTTTGATCTATTAGGCGCAATATCCCAAATGCAACCTACGAAGGACCTTCCCGCTATAAACATGAGATGGCGTTGGTTAGCGCAAACAAGATCGTAAATTCAACACTGGCATTATGAGCAGCGAAGGTGGGTAATAGAACGGATAAATCCCGAGCCTCCGCTCCTCAACGCATGGCGGGGGGAAGCAAACACGTATCGCAATCCATTAGCCGTATTACATCTCGTTCCAAGTGCTTGGCAAGCCTGTGTGTTTTTTTGTCAGATATGTGAAGAGGATACGCCTGTGTCATTTGTGTCTTGAAAATCTTATTTCCACACTGTTTATCAGTGTGTGGTTCTCGACCGGTTTATATTGATGACAAGGTGAAGGCGGTGTAGAGTTTCGGACTTTTCTTACCGCCCCATAACCTCTTCAATGCTGGTTTTACTTTTTATTATGGAACACAGGCCACTACTAAATACTGGCAGATACTCAATGTTTTATTTTTTGGTTTTTCCAATACTAGCCTATAGGTTTGTGTTCTGTTCATCCCCCCCCCCTTATATTTTCATTTACAGTGATCAATTTGAATGATGTATGTATTTTTCTTGTGAATATTTCACACCAGTCTTGGTACATTATGTTGTTTAAACCCTATCCTTCCTCAATCCTCCAATTTCAAAGTCATTTGGGAAGTTTTGGAGGATTTTGAAGGATTGAGGCAGAATCGGTCCTTCTGATTTGAAAATCACAGGTGTGTGGAAAAAAGCACACCTGGATTTTTTGAGGCGTGTGATTTTTATAGGCATGTGATTTTCTAGGCGAGTGATTTTTCTAGGTGTGTGATTCCATGGTCCAATCTGGGATATATTTCATAATACATGTATTAATCTTGGTTTACAATAAAGCTATTTTCTCTTCACTGACGTACTTTATTTTTCACAAATTATGAAGTAAAATTATGCTGTAAATGTATGCCGAGGTGTGCGGTACTGAGGGATTCAGGCGTGCGATTATTCGCACTTCTCGGGAAGCTTTTAGGCGTGTGATGGCGTGGGGGTGCGATCGCACGCCTCAAAACAGAAGGACTGCTGAATGCAACATACAATTTTGGAGGATTGTGGACTAGACTATAGCATTGAGGGCAGTTGGACATGTATGTGTTCAGTAGGCCTATCGGTTGATTTTGGAGGATTGAGGATGATTGGTGTTTGAAGAAGAGGATTTTGGAGGATTGAGGATGAATGCATTTTGAGAGGCATAGCTGTTGAAGGATTTTGAAGGATTGAGGCAGTTGGTATCCTTCATTTGAACACAAGTGCACAATTTTGGAGGATTTTGGATGGTTCCTAGCAAAAAGGGCCCAGGGGGTTAGGGTTAATAAACAAAGGTTAAAGTTTAAGTTTCAAAGGAAATGCTAAATATTATCACATCCATATTTTGTAATGTCACAACTAGGGCTGTACTTACGGTATAATAGTCTACTTCAAAATCGGAAGGAAGACATGTGATGACAACATTTCTAGGAAAAGTGAGTGCAAACAAGAACGAAAATAATATCATTTTTCCAACGTCATTAAATATGACAGTTTTTTGGCAACAATCTGAATAATAAATGTTTGAAAGAGGAGTAACTAAGGAAAAAAATTGGACAGCGGGCGTGGAAATACTTCACAGGCATAAATACTGTTTGACGTTTTATAATGTGGGCGATTTGGCACATACTCGTCATCGCGAGCTGTCGTTCCTGTGCAAGTTGCCGACCAATCAAGACAGGCCTAAGCCTTCCCCGACAAATGGTTTGTGGTGATTGATCAATCCTGCCGAGGGAGTTGTTCCGCTCATGTTTCTAGCGCCTTGGCCTTTCCGAGTACTTCCCCCCCCCCCCCCAATTTCCTCCCAAGGTGGTGTAAGTTATTCGGACAGTTTCTGAAGAGACCCCCCCCCCCCCCTTCTCCCTTTGCCTCATCAGTTGCTTCCGTCTTCTAATCTCCCGTTTCCGGACGCTGACCGCCGTGGCGCTGACTTGCAGCGCCACCGGCTCGCCGGCGTGCTGCGTCGTCACTCGCCGTTGACCACCTGTCGTGTTGAGGCAAAACTTGAAAGGAAAGTCACTCTAATCGGCCGATAATCTAAGCCGACGTCTATTGATCAAACGGCGACACAACGCGCAGGCTTTGCTCGCACTACTTGCTGCGCTGCACTTTGTGAGGAGGTTGTAGATGTTTGTGCAGACGTAAAATGACTTAAAGTTGCATTCCTCATGATAATTCGAGTTTCAAGCCCCAAAAAAATTTGTTTTTTTCACTTGGTATTTTCCTGGCAATTTTAATAGTTATTCTCTTTGGAATGAGACATTGAACGCATAATATCAGTACAGTTACATACATGTACATGTAGTTATTGATTAATTCCGTGCAAAGTTTGAATAATTGGCTGCCAGACAGTAACTGGGCTCTGCCAGGGTGAGCTCATTTATGCACAAAATAAAAACCCTTTTTTCAAACGCCCCAAAACAGAATAAAGTATGTTTTTTTTAACTGAAACAAAAATTTCAAATTGAAAAGTCACTAGGAGAAAAGAATGAAATCATTTTTTTAATAGCATACGGTAATGCAGCTTCAACCTTAGAACTGGTTTCCACATCTATTACCGAAAATAATATTGAACAGGACGAACTCCCAAACAGATGTATTTGGTTTTATCCAAATTTATGTATTGACCACCGACAGACAAATCTATTTCATCTACATAATGCTTTGAAGTTAAACTTATTATAAAGTACCAAAACAATTTAAATGCACAGAAAACATCTGTCCGGATGAACATCTGTCTTTGACAAGTGAACATCTGTCCTTGGCAGTTGTACATATTGTTTTCCTGCTTGAGAAAGATTCTCTGTCTTCTTTTGTTTGATAAATGTGACCTGTCACCACGAAATGAGCTTGAAGTCGGAAATTGCCATTTCGCAGTACGGTGGGGCAAAGCCAAAATTTGAAGGGGTGGTCAGTTTGTTTTTGGTTTTAGGTGAACCTCAATCTCTAAGTCCTGTGCTACCTTTTTCCAAGTTGTTTTTGTTCTGTCAAATATCTTTGAAACCTATTTCATCCGATTTTTACGACTTCACTGTGCATGCACTATATAGCACAAGTTGCAAGATTTTTGAATGCCATTTTCTCAAGAATCTGTTTTACAACTTCAAGTAAGTTTGGTGGTCTGTACAGGGTGAGTAAAAAAAAACCGAAACCCAAATGTCAGGACTATTGTTTTAGTGAAGTTCTTCATGTAGCTCTATCTAGGATAAAGCCCAATTCATAAGCTTTTTTATAGTACAAGATCATTCAAATCACTCATGTACTTTTCAAGTTACAGAATTTTAAACACAACCACCGTTTTAAGGTTCTGTCCACGGATCACCAAAAAGGTTCTTTCACCAAAACAAAAAACAATTCACACACATCCCTATGTGATTTGTTTTCGTTTTGCTGAAAGAACACTGAGCTTTGTTGTGATCCGTGGACAGAAACTTAACACAGTGGTTGTGTTTAAAATTCCGTACATGAGTGATTTGAATGATTCTTGTACTACAACAAAGTTTATGAATTGGGCTTTCATATCTTAGATTTTGAAAGTGCTACATGCAGAACTTCACTACACCAATAGTCCCGACATTTGTTTTTTTTTTTTTTTTTACTCACCCTGTATTTCCACTGCCGAAGTCATAAGTACTCTTATACTTTGTATATCATTGGAAAGCTCTTGTTCTGTGGAATCCAGATTTGTAAATATCTCAATTCTTAAAAAGTCTGACTTTAAGCTCATTTTTGTAATGACAGGTCACAAATATAAGTACTGTACAGTATGGCTTAAACAAGACAAGGCAAGACGGGGACCAGCCTAGCGTCTTCCTCTCACTGACTGACTGACTTTCTGAATATCATTTGTGAGCCGGGCAGTGCTATCCTATAGGCTCGCTCAATGACGGCCATCTCTGTAGGAGAACTGCAACTGCGTATTTTACGCAATCAAACACGCATTGCGCAGTGTTGAAAATGTTTCAAACACGCGTGCTTGTTGCTCGAATTGTGTTTGAAATATGACGCAGCCGATGCGTGTTATGCAAGTTGACGCTCAAAATGCCGATGCACGTGGATGGTCTGTAGGAAATGACGTCATTTGAACGAGACCTACATGTATAGCATTAACCCTTAACGCCAATGAACGAGCTAAATCCGGCCCATTAGACCAGATGCTAGAAAAGACTTCCAGCGAATAGCCGTTCTGAATCAGTTGAATACACTTTTTATTTTATTGCTCACTCATTTCAAATCCAAAACTTTATCAATATGTATTTGTCGGAAGTGCATTACAGGTAATTTTATACAAAGCGTTAGTGAGTCCACATATTAGGAATGACAGTGCCGCGTCTCTGTAATTAGCAATTTAATCTTGAATTCGCCGAAGTTAACGTTAAACACATTTGTCATACCCTGTTATCTGCAATGCTGTGAGTCATATAATCCAAAAAACAAAGCAT